GAAAATAAATAAAAAACAATAAAAAAAAAAAAATAAGAAGAAAATAAGCAAAAAAAAACAGAAGAAAATAAACAAAACAAAAGCAAAAAAGAAAAAGAAAATAAGCAAAACAAAAGCAAAAAGCAAAATACACTATTTAAATAAATATTTTTTACTAAATAACTATTTAAAAGTAAATTGATTTTTTTTATATTTATATTTGAGTTGAAAAAACATAACTATCAAAAGATGTAATTTTCATAAAATAAATAATTATAAAAAGTATATAATAAATAAACGATGAAGCGAGAAGCCCGAATTTTTTCGGCCCATTTTAGTGTAAATGTAGCGAGGAGCCCGAATTCTTTCGACCCTTGAGCTTGAAAAATGAGTGAGAAACTTTTAAACCATTATTAATTCTCTTTTATGATAAGAGAGTCGTGACGGGGATATCATCGACTGCATGGACATAACAACTCAACGGACGTACTAACTATTCAAATATGGAAGTGTTAGTCTTAGGTTGGACTCGGCGCTTCTACATTTTACTTTCCTCTTTTACTTTTTGCTTGTATAATCTAGGTATAATGTTTGGTATTAACACTAATAAGAGCTTGTTACTTATACTTATATGATTATAATACCCAGCTAATATATACGTATATTGTTAGTTGTATTGTATATCTTTATTAATTAATGGATCGTCAAGGCTCCTAAGGTTGGGACTTGGGAGTTGAAGCAGAACCAGGAGCAGGAAGATTTTGGGGAGAAGGAGTAAAATTAGAGAGAGAGCCCAACCTTCTTCACAGTTTCTAGAGAATAATCCTGTAAAAAAAACCAGAGTGTGAATATCAAGAGAATACTTCTCTAAATGTTCTCACATATATATATATATATATAAATAATCCACCAAATCATCAATTGCAGCTACAAAACAAAACAGATTAGTGGGGTTATTTGGTCTTGAAATTATTGTTTTTCTTGTAATATGCTCATACTACTTATTGGCTGTAATAATGAAGAGTTAAAAATGTGATCCAAGATATATTCCTCTTTCTATTTTTTCTGTATAATTGCAAAATTTATATATGGATCGCCCAGATTCTAAAAATAATTAATTTGAGTTTTAATATGAGATTCCTTATTGTTATAAAAATAACAAAAATGTAAAATCTAGGATATTTACATAATTTAACAGTTTATATAAATCATTCATGAAAAAATAAAATATTAAATTTAACATTGCAATATAATATTTTATTATTATTAGTACTACAAATAGCATAATAACTGTATATATAAACTTTGGCTAAAAAATATATAGGAAACCGCTTAATCAATTCACAATTCTGCGAGTTATCAATATAGTTTTGATAGCATGATACTCCTTACTAACTTGAAATATCATGTTTTCAACTCCATCGGATTTGAGTTTAGGCCAACATCATTTCATTACTGACGTGTTATTTTGCAACTGCCAATCATTATGAAACAAATAAAGTTACTGTGGTAGTTCAGACGTGATTAATTTTGTAGAATATATTTACTTAAGTTATTATCAATGCTTACTTAAACAACAAAAAAGGTTATTATCACTGATTTGGCTACGTTGTTAGTTGGTGACTTGGAGTAGTAGGGTTTTTATCGGAAATGTTTTACATATAGTTTTAGTTCGCTCGGAAATCCCTTAGAAATTTTTGACGGATCTAAATATGTTACATATTTTTTTAAACTCGTTGGAAATCTATCAGAAATTTCTGACGGATAAATCTGTTAGAATGTCTGTCAGAATATGTGATGTTTTCTTATAGTGATAATATATATAATTTTAGTGAAACCACAGTTGCATTAACTTGTCACAATGCTTTTGGTGTCACCTTGATGAGATGATGTTGCGAATGTTTCTGTCCAGACTCTTGAAAATGATCGTTTTGGGGATGGACAACTGATTATGCAATATGATGTTCCTCTACTTCCATAAATGAAAGATAGTTGCTTGAACTAATTAGCTTTATATAATAGTTATGTAAAAACTTATATTACATTTAACCAATGGAATATATCTGTTCAAAGCGATGATTAATGTCAAATGAATATGCTGCTAACTGATATATTTGAAATTAGAAAAGATTCTCGCTCGACTTGCCTGATTTTTGTTATCTTCAATAAAAGAATTTAAATAAAAAAGAATTATGTTAGACTCACATCATGAAAACTAACGAGGAACCTAAATACTTTATCAATCATTATGTGCCTTGATTTCTCCAGCCTTTGTCATAAAGTCATCTGTTACATGTTTCCAATCTGCACACAGACATGAGTGACTACCCGCTATGACTTTTTTGTGTGTTTGATTAATCTGCAACTCTTTTAGAGTAAGTAGTCTTCTGTAATAATTGTTTTACAATCTGTGGTGTAAAATTTTTTCTAACGTTTTTTTTTATAGAGAAAATAATTATGAAAAGATTTTAAATAAAATATAAGAATATATATATATATATATATATAATTTTTCTCATGACTTCATTATAAATGTGATTTTATATTAATTTGTTTTTGTGAAATGTTTTCATCGGTAACAATTAATTGAATCTAACTCTTTATAACATGTATTCACAATATAAAATAACATGTATTCACAATATAAAGAATAGTATATACTGATTGGTTGATGTTGGGTGTATATTCTTGAAAAAAAGGGTTTGACATGCCCAAAGAAAGAAATAATAGGTCATGATCGACCATAGAACCAACACAAAAAAGCTTACAGAGCTAACCTTTTCAGCCAAACCCATTCATTGAAAGAGTTGGTCCAAGCCAATCAAGCACAATCGACAGAAAAGGACACAAAACCAATCGAGGACTAGGAGAGCATCGAACTAGGAGACGTGCCGATAAGGGATCTTTCGATTAGTCTTAGGTTAGACTAGGCGCTTCTACATTTTACTTTCCTCTTTTACTTTTTTGCTTGTATAATCTAGGTATTTCCCTATAATGTTTGGTATTAACACTAATAAGAGCTTGTTACTTATACGATTGTAATACCCAGCTATTATATATATTGTTAGTTATATTGTATATCTTTATTAATTAATGGATCGTCAAGGGTCCTAACGTTGGAACTTGGGAGTTGAAGCAGAACCAGGAGCAGAAAGATTTTGGGGAGAAGGAGCATAGTTAGAAAGAGAGCCCAACCTTCTTCACAGTTTCTAGAGTTGGATTATTGATGAAAAATATATAAAAAATATAAAATCAAAATTTAAGAGTTATTTATTTTAGTTCTCATTTATTTTCAATTAAAATTTTTAAAACATAGATTCTTTTGCGGGTTCTAAGCAACATTAACTCTATTTCTTTTGTAGTTCCAACATTTTATCAGCTATTTTTTTTTCTATTTCGATGCGTTAAAAATTTGGATATGCAATTAGAGTCTTTCGAATATGTTAACTCTCTTCCCATTAACTCTCTCCAAGCAAACAAAATTTATCTTTCTTTTCACATTCATCTCCCATATATGATTTCTCTGCTTTCTAGGGAAGGTATGCTTCTCAAGACTCGCGTCAAAAGCTCCTCTACATGATTTTTGCTGATTCTTCTCCTTACTGAACGCATCACTGTTCAATACTATATCACTAACATCTAGGATTTACTTTTATTGCAATTGTTTTAGAATCATCTAATTATCGAATACATGAAACACTTTAGATGAATACCATATTTAGCAAACAAATATTATAGTTGTTCTAGAATCGTCTAATTATTGAATGCATAAAATATTTTAGATGAATACAATATTCAGCAAACGAATATTACAATAAAAGAAGAAAAAATATACTTATAGAATGAAGTTTAAGAAATATTATTTTGTTTAGTGAGAAAATACAAGAAACTTTATGTGTTTATGTGGGTATAGTATATTTTTTTTGTTTAAGATTAATGTTTTGGTTTATTTTAATTTTCTATATTGAAATATATCCTTTTTTTTATCAAGTATCTGAATCATTAAATTATGGATTGAGTTCAGACAAAATTTGGTAGATAGCAGCCTGAAAGGCCGATCATCAATCTAACAATAAGGTTAACTTGATTTCATTTGAATCAAGAGAGTATGTTAATACGTTAATAACATTTTTGAATTTGATTTGATTAGTTAAGAGAAATTTATATTATTTTGTATATGTTATGCTATTTTATAAATAATCACAAGAATGTAAAATAATACTTCCTCCGTTTTTTTTTAAATATGATGTTTTAATATCTTCACACATAAACTTTAATAGTTATTTTTTATTTTATTTTTTAGCTATTTTTTATTTTTAATAATATATTAATATCATTTCTCTCTTTATTATTGGTTAAAAACTTTTTGGAAAACTAAATATATTATTTAATACCTAAAACATCAATTTTTTAAAAACAAAGAACAACAATCTTTTAAAAACAGAAAGAGTATAAATAATGCTTCTACCAAATGAAGTTCGTCTCAAATCTATCGACTATGTCCACTTTCTCACCTAATGGTATGGTAACTAAAGCTACACTAACTTGCTTCTCTCATCTCTCTGTCTTTTCCTTCTTCTTATTTTTGGGGTTTTTTATTGTTGTTTTTTTGTTACCGTAGGTCGATTGAAACCAGAGCTCTAATACATAAAGGAGGAGAGTTCAAAGAAAATTTGCTGAGAGTTTGTATAGAAGATGATGGCTTTGGTCCTAAGCATCATCATATCTGTTCTTCCATGTTATTATTTGTCTTATAAAAAAAACCAGAACAATTTGGATTCTCAGTTGTTGTTGTTGTTGTTTTTTTTCCTCCTCAACTAATACTGCATTTATTAAAGATGGAATCAGAGAATACATAGTTTTACTTTTATGAATATCAGATTTTTGAGTTCAAATTGAGGGAAATAATCATCATTATAATAAGACGGTTGACAGAAAGAAGCAAAATATTACATCATTATGCATTGACAATAATCAAATTTATGAAATAGAGATTAAACTCTGGAAATTACAAACAGGATTCACGATGGATTCAGCATGAAGGCAGCATGATATGATCCTGTTTGGAGATCATGTACCAACAGCGTTTTACTTAACCCACGTTTATGTAACAACATCTTCTTCTTCTTCTTCTCCTCCCCATGGAAAAGTGTTAGTGGAGGGAGCGCGCAATGTAGATTACCAAACCAACGAGAAGTTACCTCCAGATCGATAGAACAGAATTTGTCCCATGTCTTGGTGCCTGAATTAAGCGACCATATCACTTGGTTGGGCTACTTCATCTCGGTAACGCACAAGCGGTCGTCGAGGTTGCACATACCCATCTTGAAACGATCTACATTGGCAAAGGGAGCTTTACAAATGACATGAAAGGCTTCAGTGTGAAGATCGAAGGATACAACTTTGGTTTCTTTGCAAGCGGTGAACCAATGAAGCGAGCCATCTACAAACACAGGATCGGGGCAACCAACAACACGACAAGGAGCAGCGGGAGTAACATACCTCCAAGCGTTGGTGGTAAAGTCAAAAACTTCGCATGTAGTAACGTTCTCTCGGCATATTTCTGAAGAGTTGTACAACCAAACGGGTTTGTATGTGCCCGTGAATTTGTCTTTACCGAATCCAAGATTTGATAACTCGTGTCCATGTATATGTAAGCATCCAATCCTAAGTCGGCGATGAGTTGTTGAAATTGACAGAGAGGAAGAGGGCGATACCATCTGGTAGTGGGATTGACCACAATGAAAGCAAGAATAAAGCAAAGCTAAAGTTTGAAGATAAAAAAAGTATTTGCTAGAACATTTCAATCTTATTTCTTAAGTGGTAAAGATACAACTTAACATCCCTTTTATAGAACATAAGGAAAACCCTAAAGAGGGAGCATGTAGATCTAGATACGCTCAATAACACTTGATCCCAAGCTTTCAAACTTGTTGTTGAGCGTGACAGGTGAGCGTTTGTACGAACTCGTTGCAGCTGTGTCTAGTTTTCTGTGCAAGGTTCTGCACTTCCCACTTGAGTGAACCGTTGCTTGCTGTTTGAGCGGAGTGGGCTTACAAACTTTGTGGGGGATAATCCACACCAAATTTGAATCGTAAATCAGAGAAAGACTGAATCGGAAGAGATTTGGTGAAGATGTCCGCCAACTGATAAGCTGCCGAGACGTGATGAACAACCAAAGTTCCCATAGCAACACGTTCTCGAACATAGTGAAAATCAATCTCAAAGTGCTTAGAGCGCTTGTGCATCACAGGAGTTGCAGATAAGTAGACAGCAGAAAGGTTGTCGCAGTAAACTTCGGGAATAGAAGTCTAAGGAATACCGATTTCACGTAAGAGATGCCCAACCAAGTAATCTCCGCAGCCATGTCTGAAAGTGTCTGATATTCAACCTCAGTAGAGCTGCAAGAGACTGTCGACTGCTTCTTTGCTGACCAAGAAATAATTTTCGATCCCAAGAAAGTGCAAAAACCACCAGTGGAGCGTCTCATTTCCTTACAACTGGCCCAATCACTGTCACTATAAGCACGAACAATGAAGTCAGTGTTTGCGGTAAGGTTCAGGCCGAAGTCTGTTGTACCATGGAGGTAGCAAAGAATATGCTTCAGAAGATTGAAGTCTGCAACTGATAGAGAATGCATCTTCTGACAGATGTAATTGACAGCAAACTGAAATCTGGCCGAGTAAGAGTAAGATATTGCAGTTTACCAGCCAAACTACGAAAGTATGTAGGTTCTGGAAACACTTCATCTTGATTCGGGACTCTGTCCAACTGCAGAGGAAGCGGTGTTGGCATTGGGGAGCAATCAGACATGCTAGCAATGTAGAGCAGATCCTCTGCATACTTCTCCTGATTCAGGAAAAGACCATCTTCATGATAATGTGCTTGCACGCCCATAAAATAATGTAAGCGCCCCAAGTCTTTCATTTTGAACTCACTGCTTAATGTAAGAAGAAAGGACTCCATGAGCTGCTTGTTGTTGCCCGTCAGAACCATGTCATGAACAGAGAGGAGAAGCAGCAGAACATCACCACCTTTGAGATAGACAAACAAGGAGGGATCTGAAGTACAACACACAAAGCCGAAGTCCATCATGTATGAGCTGAATTTGTTGAACCACACTTGAGGGGCCTGCTTTAAACCATAGATAGCTTTATGAAGTTTGCAGACATATCCTGGTTTATCAGGATTAATGAAGCCAAGAGGCTAATGCATATACACAATTTCTGTTAAATCACCATGGAGAAATGCGCTCTTAACATCAAGCTGTTTTATTTTCCACTTGAGAACCGTTGCTGTATGAAGAATAGAATGAACAGTTGCTGTTTTGACCACCAGACTGTAGGTGTCCATATAGTCAATACCTTCTTCTTGATTAAATCCTTTAGCCACTATACGAGCCTTGAGCTTGTCAAGAGATCCATCAGCTTTGAGCCTTGTGTGAAAGTACCATTTGCATCCTAGTATGTTCATGTCAGGTTGATACGGAACTAGAGAAAATGTCTTGGTTTCAGCAAAGTTCCCAATTTCCTCTGTCATTGCTCCATTCCATCCAGGGTGTTTTAGAGCAGCAATAACCGTTTTAGGCTCAGCTGGAGTTGATGTTATCGTGAGAAGAGCATAACGAGGATTGGGTTTGGAAATACCAACTTTAGACCTTGTGGTCATAGTATGTGTAGCATCAGTTGCAACCGTAGACGAAGACAAAGGAGGGAAATCAGCTTCTGTAAATAAAGGAGCCTCTGCAGCTACATGGGCAGATTGTGGAACTGATTTTCCTGATACTCCAATGAAGCTTTGCTGCCAAGCAGAAAGCAGCGGTGCAGTGGGGCTTGGATGGAGGTGAGAGTATGTTAATTCGAAAGGAAAAACCAACTCATCAAACAGAACATGACGACTGATGTAGATACGTCCTGTAGGTGGATAGAGACAACGATAGCCTTTGTACTTGTCATTATACCCAAGAAAGACACACTGTAAGGAACGAGGATCAAGTTTGTTGTCTGCGTAAGGCCTAAGAGAAGGATAGCAGACACAACCAAACTATCACAGAGCTGAATATTAAGGTTTTCTGCCAAACAGAACTTCAAATGCACATCGTTGGTTTGACAATGATGATGAGGGAAGCAAATTGCTTAGAAAGTTTGCCTTGAAGAAAGCTTCAACCCAATATTGTTGTGGAACCTTATTCTCAAACATCATTGCTAAGCCTAGCTCTGTAATGTGGCGATGTTTCCTCTCAGCTATGCCATTCTGTTGAGGCGTGTGAGGGCAAGAAAGGATCTGTTTGATCCCACACTAGGCTAAGTGTGAAACAAATTTGGTGCTTGTAAATTCACCACCACCATCACATTGAAAAGCTTGTATTTTGAGATTGAATTGGTTTTCAACAGGAGACTAAAACAAGACAAATGTAGAGTAGAAGTTGATATATCATGGTTTTCATAGTTTTTAACCATGATATAAGTCCTTTTATTGAGTCTTTTTGGTCTTTTTAGAGTCCTAGTAGAGTCTTTACAGGTTATAACATGTCTGGAGCATAATTGGAGATATTGAAGCTTTTTGGAGCATTGCAAGTTGAAGCCACGAAGTGTCTAGCTCGAAGAAGAAAGTATGCCTTATGGTGACGCTCGTCACACACCAAGGAAGGAGTGTGGCTGGTTTCTAAAAGATTGGGAAGAAATTGCAGTTTTAGCCCAAAAGTTCCAGTATTTGCAAAAAGGCCCCATATCGTGTTTTAGCTTGTATATTAGGCTTTTCAGCCATTCTTTTGGCAGATATCTTGTATCTTAATATTCTAGAGAGCTTTAGAGGGAGATTTGTAACAGAGCTTTTGGAGAGGCAAATCAGACTCCTTCAGAGCAGATTTCGAACTCTTTCATCTTTACTTCTTATTTCTTTTATGCAATCTATTATTTTCATGATGTTTTTTCAAATCACCATGTCTGAGTAGTTAGGGTTTTTTTAAAAGGTTGATGAAGAGTTTGTATAATTGCTAAACTTATAGGAAATTCATTGGTTCTTCATCTGTGCTTGCATTCATATCGATTTCTTAGACACATCATCTGGATTTCGAAACCCTGGGTTGTTTGATAGGTGTGAGAACATTATTAATCACCTGAACTAGTATTAGATGAGCAAAACTCCCTAGTGCAAAGAGATTTGGCTTAGGAGTTTTGTGAACAATTGAACCTGACCATTACTGCATGTTTATGTTGTTAGGGTTTGCAAAGAGATTTAAAACTATGTGATTTAGGCATAGTTAACTTCTGCAATGAGAATTGATTAGTTATATCTTTGCAATTCATGTTCAAGACGGTTTTTTCATTCCTGTTTGCATGCATTCTACACTCTCGGATTCAACCTGCGAATTGCCCTGACTTAGCGCCTTTAGCTTTCTGAACTTTAAGAACAATCTCAAAAACGCCCTATTGCTTTTATTGCTATAGTTATTTCGCATTACATTTATTACTTATCGCTTAGCTTAATCTGAATCTATAATCGCTAGTGTAGTTTACATACTCCCTTGGGATTCGATAACCCCTTATACTACAACTGCTTTGCTGTGCAGTTGTAGTAGTTTTTATTTGGGTAAAACCTGAGTCCTATCAAGTTTTTGGCGCCGTTGCCGGGGAGGTGTAATAGCTGCCTATCGATTTTTAGTTTTAGGATTTTGACTAAGTTTTAATTTGTTTACTAACTTTCAATTTCTTTTCTTTGTGCTGGTTTCAGGTGTATGCCTAATCGCAGTACTAGAAGCAACAAAGAGAAGGATCTTTTGATCTTAGGCATTGACGAGCTAGCTAAGTTGGAAAGGACTATCAGGAAAGCTAAGAAGCAATCTACAATGGTCGCTCCACTTATATTGGTTGAAGATGCATAAGGTTACTTGGTTGACAGAGAAGGAAACAGGAGGAATGAAGAGGGGCAGAGGATTGATCAAGATGGGAATGTCATTGTTGAACAGCAGGTTCAACATGTGGGACAAGACGCTGGAGTCCCTGCTGCTGCTGATAACGCTGCTGGGCGTTTTGTGCAGAGGACTTTAGGAGACTACAATAGACCAGATCAGTTCTATGCCAACAGAGCTGCAATCCGCCCTCCTGCCTTCCAGAGGAACGATTTTGAGCTTAAACCTGTCTATTATCAGCTGGTTGGCCAGCATCCATTCCATAGCTTACCTCATGAGCATCTTATGGATCACATTAAGAGGTTTGAAGATTTAGCTTCAAGTGTCAAAGCTAATCGAGTTACCAATAATTTTTTGTTCTGCAAGCTTTTCCCTTACTCTCTTGGAGGAGAGGCTACATATTGGCTGAAGCAACTGGAACCTGCTTCACTGACCACTTGGGAAGACACTAAGAATGCTTTCCTGAATAACTTCTATGATGATGCCAGATCAGAAGACATGAGGATGAAAATTGCATCCTTTACACAAGGACCTACTGAAGCTTTTAAGGCTTCTTGGATAAGATTCAAGTCTTATCAAAGGGACTGTCCTCATCATGGTTTCAGTCAGGTCCAATTACTTGGGATCTTCTTCAGAGGCATTGACTGGAAATACCAGATGGCGCTGGATGCAGCTAGTACTGGAAACTTCAACAACAACAAACCAGAAGAAGCAATCAGGTTGATTGAGAACTTGGTCTGCAGCAACAGCACCAAGAATGCAGATTTTCAGAGGATGAAACAAGCTGGTTTGGATGATGGAAATAAGATT